GCAGCTTCTGTGAGTTTCTGTTTCAGTGACTGAACCTCTGTCTCCAATTTGGCGATCCGCTCCTTCGGCTTAGTCACCGGCCCCTAAAAAAGAAGCACGAAACCCCTCAGTGACCGCAAACAGCCCGTATTACATATGAACAATCCAAGCTTGAACGCTACTAGGGGCTCCTGGCCTTACTACTAGGAGCAATGTTCGCTACTAGTAACAAAGGGCAAGAAGCTTCAATTTTACCGTAGAGATCTTTGGCTGCACTGATGTTTGCCACAAGTGCTTTAGTCGAATCTAACTGCACCAAGGGCCCATTTGGACCTTCTCCGATGTAGGCAACCTGTTCTATATCGTACTGTTGAGAGGCCCATAGAGGTTCTAGGTCCGATAGTCCTGATTTGCTTTCAATAGAGGTCAATGGGCCAAATATCACGTTGCCGTATTATATACACGCCTGACTTGGGGATGCAGGACTACAAGAAAATACAACTAGTGGTGCTTTGACGATTCACTCCTAAAATTACTGGGTGGTCGCCCTAAATCATAGCAGGTGACTGGAAGTCACAAAAACTGCAAAAGAACCTTCCAGGCACGCAGAATATACCACGCTGCATTAGGGCTGACAAGGCATCGCAGCCGTGCACCACAAAAAATAGGCATGATTTCATGCATGTTACTGTTTGCACGACATCCAAAGAAAACACCAATCTATACAGCACGATGCCAAGAACCGACTGGTTTCAGCAACTCTCTGGGCATTGGGGCAGGCAGCTCAGGACGACTTAAATTTTGGCCCAGTGACATTAGACTATCTTGGGTATTGGGAATCTTGGGTAGCCCTGCCAATGGTTGAGTGGAGTCTCCAGTTCACCCCGGATGTTAATGCAAACTTCCTCCATGCCTTTCAGGTGTGTCTCCGAGTCTCCTCCGTTGACGTGCTACCAGAGCAGCAGCGGATCGGCCAGCCTATGCTTTCAGCTGGATGGATGCGTGCATCAAACAAAGCAACAAGGACTTGGAGGGGGTGTATAACAAACCACAACAAACCCAGACACAAGAAAGTTCCCCTAGCGGTTTTTCATTTGGCTGTGGTTTCTCCGGAATACTGTATTCATCATTGTTCATCTGTACTGTATTCACTTGATACCTTCTTCTTGACCCTCCGCCTTTCAGCAGCTCCAATCTAAGGGGCAAACGCCAAGCGCTTTGGCACCTTGAAGCCTCCAATGAGAGTGGGAGGCGACCTCAGGTCAGACCATGAAGACTTTCTGCTTTGCTTGCAGCGCATCCGACAAGATTGGGTGAATGCCCTAAGCACCCAAGCGCTGTCACTCCACTTTTTGGTGTGTGCTTGTGTGTAAGTGTGAGCTTTCCTGGGAAAGAGACCTTTGCACTGCCTCGTGGCAGTGACAAGCTGCCGGCAAGGCGACCGAATGGACCTGACAGGTCTCCACGTCAACTGGACATCGATGATTATCTAAGGGTAAAATTGTACGTATACTAGATACATGTCATATACAGTACAATCAGTGCAATGCTGTGTTGGAACAATCTCTCAGCGCAAAAGCTAGTGGTCTGGTTCCAAAATGTTAGCACAGGTGTCCGAGGCCTGCCCATCAAAGGGGACAACCAAAACAACAAGGAGAGAGAAAGCAGGTACAAACAACGGGAGAACAAGTTCTGTGAAGGTGACCAAAGAAAGCATGATGGGGAGGTCGGCAGGAAAAAAACATGAGATTCTGCCTTTCCCAAATTAGGAGATGATTAGGTGCTGTGCTGAGCTTCAGTATGCTGAACAAAGACTGTGATGGGTCGAATGACGAATTACGCAATCATATATGGGTACTACCCATATGTATTCAAGCAAAAAAGCTGTAAATGAATTTGCTGTGTACAGCGGTAATTGGGGACAACAGTGCCCCTTGAGGAAGAGCGACAAGAATACTGACATGGCTTCCAGCCAGCTTGGAAGCAATGTTATGTTATATGTTAATCCGACTCCGCTGACACAAGTTCTTCTGAAAAAACCTGACTCAGCCTGACGCCTCAAAATCCAACACCAATCCAAGGTATCAGTGGAATCTTTCTGAAGCTACTTCTCCCTCTGGTTCCATCATTAAGCGCACCAAGCCTGGACACGAGTCTTCCATAGGCCAGCATGTGTGGCAAGATCTTGACCTATGTGCAATCACCAATGGCTGGGACAAAGTTGACCGGGTCACATGTCTGCTTGAGACGAAGTCTGGCTGAACAACGTTTGTAAACAAGAATGCCTCAAACTGTCACACGTGCACTAATCAATGTATAAAAATCAATGTATAAAGAACAGTTACACCAGCTAATACACCTTGAAAACCTTATGCCAATGTCAGCCTAGCCTGCACAGCTAGAGCTGTTGGGCCAAAAATGTTGCGGAGAGGGTTCTAGCAGCTTCATGTAAGACCGGTTCGATGAATGCCAAGGCTCGATGTCAAAAAGAGAACTGGACGTCCATCCCAGTTGTAAACCAGCAAAAGACGTTGAAATCTTCCGTGTAGGATTTGAAACTCAAGAGCTTGATGCAGTCATGGGACACAAGTCTTCTGTGAGGAATTCAGCAAACAAATCTAAACTTACCACCACAATCCACCACACATAAATTCCTGTCTTGCCTGCGGCCCTTCCTTCTGCCTCGCGCGAGAAAATAGATCAGCGAGGGAAAATGCTGACAAAGTTGCTTCTCTCACCAGGAACACAAAACGAGTCCGCTCATATCGGCATGTGCTCTTTTGCTCCTTTTTCTCTGTTGCAGTCATCTCAGCCAACTGAGGACACGAAGCGCCGCCATTGTTTGCAATGACGGTGTTCAACCTAAGTCAAGCGATGCTGTCGACCCTAGGTCCAAACGCACCAATTTTCATCCTGAATCCAGGTCAAGGCCAGGATGTGTCGAACAAAAGCGCGCTCATCGTTCTCACATTCCTTCATATACTTGTTCCAGGGCACACACTTATAACACACTTCTGGGGTAGTCCGTAGAACTCAAGACTAAGATATATGCCATGCAATTACATGCAATTACAGTACTACAGTAATATTTACATTTAAATTCGCATGGTAATAGGCTACTATTCCAATGACAATTGTAGCGTATCCACTGCTGATTCACTGGGTACCCCAGGCAGCTTTGTCAGCACAGCTCCATCCCCCGAGTGTACAAGTAGAGCTTGTAGTCGGCTTGCCAGCTCAGCATCCAGGAGCCTGCCAAGGGATCGTGTGAACATGGCCTGCCAAGGGATGTAATTAGTTGTTATGATGGTTGTTATGTGACAGCACATTACAGCTCGATCAACTGTTGGCCTTGCTCCAATGCGCGCTCCCAAACAATCCCAACGACTAGCATTGCCTGGTTGCAGAGCCCAAATCCAAATGAAGGGATGTCATGCCCGAGAGCGCGCCTAAGGAAAAGCATGATTGAGGTCTGCCTAACCTCCCAGAATGAGTTTCGTCATACTAGGCTACAAACACACCCAAAAGGGGTGCTGAAGAAGTCATCTCGTGAGGAACGCCTACATGGTCTGCCGGCGGTTGAACGGGTCAGTGGCGCTGACGCCCAAAGCTCCAAAACCCTCTGCCACTTTGATGCCGATGTCACTGTCTGAAAATGAAAAGCATGAATCTGGTGATCGATTTTGTATGTTGTTTTTGTTTTACTACTCGCAGCATTCTGTTTCTATAGCGGATTAGCCCGTATATGGTAGCGGAACTTTCACGTATATCTTATCTCGTGACAAGATGCCGGAAAGATGCAGTGCCATCACATTGAGATTGCCCGTCTCAAAAGAATCAACCTTGGACAGCACTAAAAGCTCAATGAACTCCTCGCTCTGCTCGGTTGGACTGCTCTGACAAACTCACCTTCGCAATGTCGCACAACTCTCCGGGCTCTCTAGGTGAGAGTGACTTGCGGGCTCAGCTTGGTCCATTTCGGCATGTATGTCAATGTATCTGTCCTGGGTGCTCTGAGTGATGGACGGTCACCTCAGAGGAATGATTGCAATGCTTGAGTAGAATCCAGCCTTGCTTGCAATTCTGGATTGGCTACGATAAGCAATGACATAATGACATTGCAAAACAGAATGTACAATGAACTCACGATGAACTCACAAGGAGGAAACTGACTCTTCTGGCTTGGTGGCATTGCGATTGAAGGCTTCACCCGGCTTGCATTCAGCCGAAACCTGAAGAGCAAACTGGGCCAAGTCATGTTTTCATTAATAAAGCACAATCAAGTTCAATAACAACATTCCTTGAGTTCTACAATAATATAAGTATGTTGTTCTTTTCTTTCGCGGCATTCTGGCACCTCAAGATACCTCAAGGAATTGAAAGTACTAAGTTACTCAAGTACACTTACATAGATCAAATTGGCCGGCTTGCATTGTATCGCCCAGGTAGTGGCATGTGATTTCCCTAATTACTTCCCCGATATCTAGCTGCCATTCCCGTCCTGGCCTGCAGTGTCCAGTTCAAGCCCTTGGGGCAACAAACTTGCCCTTCCAGTAGGGTTCGTCGGAATTGCATTGCCTCGTCGCATGAGCGCTGGAAGTGAACAAGACGGGCTCCACTTGGTATTTTCGAAAAGACTTTACTGTAGGGGGGAGTGGTCCCTGGGTGTTCGCAGGCCGGCGAATCTTGTCCAGACTCAGGCCTGCAAATGCACTTGCAAATCCTGAGCTTGTGGCTGCGAATCGCAGCGTGGCTTGCAAATTGACGAACACTGCGTGTGTGTGTGTGTGTCCACCCCTGGACAAAGGGCTTTACTCCGCCACTTCTGTCACAGATTTTCCACCACCTTTTACATGCAGGGGGCAGAGGGATCTC